TGCGCGTCCGGAGCCTGTGCTCCACAACGGGAGAGGCCACAACAGTGAGAGGCCCGCGTAGCGCAAAAAAAAAAAAAAAACCCACCAAAAAAACCCCTGGCGGACGAACTGATTCTAAAATTTACATCGAGAAACAAATAAGCAAGAATAGCCAGGAATACAGCAGAAGAGTAGAGGAGGGACGGGCACGAGGGATACTAGGTCTAGCAACTCTTAAAACACATTATAAGGCTTTTTAAAAAACTTAATTATGCTCTTCTCATTTCTTCAAGGTAGTAAAGAGTTGTTCCTGTGAGATAAAAAAAATATCAGTGGACTCTTAACCAGGACTTAAAGAGTAGCTCTAACTTGAGTTGGTTCAATTTTGTATTCTTTGTTATTATTTGTCAGTTTAAAAACAACAACCAAGGTTTTTCTGAAACCAGTCAACAATTCTATGGCCAAGTAAATGGATAGGAATGCCATGCATGAAACTTCTCCTAAAATGCAGTCAAACAAGAACTGGCTAGAAGGAGAATAACTAGGAATGCGTTTGAGATCTCCGTTTGAAAGTATGACAGGGTAAATCTTTCTGGAAGTCTTAATAAAACCAATATCTAATAAGTGGAGAAATTAAGGCTTGCTCATTTTTATTTTCTAATGTGATGTTGCAGAATTTTCCTGGTTATATAAAGATAATGATCAAATGAAAAATAAAAGTTATTTTAAGGAATCCAAGTAGTAGTTATTAGACAACTGAATAAAAATTCTGATGTCAAAAGGTGGTGAACACAGATTAAAAACCAATTGCATCTCTACTTAGCAAAATGAAACAAAAAGGATAAAAAATGACATTGTCCATAATATATGCTGAATGAGATATTTTTGGCCATGTAAACATTTTTTTTTAACATCTTTATTGGAGTATAATTGCTTTACAGTGTTGTGTTAGTTCCTGCTGTATAACAAAGTGAATCAGCTATACATATACATATATCCCCATATCCCCTCCCTCTTGCGTCTCCCTCGCACCCTCCCTATCCCACCCCTCTAGGTGGTCGCAAAGCACCGAGCTGATCTCCCTGTGCTATGCGGCCGCTTCCCACTAGCTATCTGTTTTACATTTGGTAGTGTATATATGTCCATGCCATTGTCTCACTTTGGCCCAGCTTAACCTTCCCCCTCCCCGTGTCCTCAGGTCCATTCTCTACTTCTGTGTCTTTATTCCTGTCCTGCCCTTAGGTTCATCAGAACCATTTTTTTTTAGATTCCATATATATGTGTTAGCATATGGTATTTGTTTTTCTCTTTCTGACTTACTTCACTCTGTATGACAGACTCTAGGTCCATCCACCTCACTACAAATAACTGAATTTCGTTTCTTTTTATGGCCATGTTAACATATTGTGTGCTTTTCCCTGCTTTTATTTTTATGCATCACAAGTCAATGCATACAGAGATAAACTTTTTTGACTTAAAAAATAAAAACCTTTATTTTAAAGATTATACAATACTTTGGTACTAGAGGTTTTTTTTAATATTTTTAATTAATTAATTAATTTACGCCTGCATTGGGTCTTCATTGCTGCACGCAGGCTTTCATTGCGGTGGCTTCTTTCTTCGCGGAGCACGGGCCCCAGGTGCGCGGGCTTCAGTAGTTGTGGCTCGCAGGCTCTGTAGTTGTGGCGCACGGGCTTAGTTGCTCTGTGGCATGTGGGATCTTCCCAGACCAGGGCTTGAACCCGTGTCCCCTGCATTGGCAGGTGGATTCTTTTTTTTTTTTTTTCTGCGGTACGTGGGCCTCTCACTGTTGTGGCCTCTCCCGTTGAGGAGCACAGGCTCCGGACGCGCAGGCTCAGCGGCCACGGCTCACGGGCCCAGCCGCTCCGCGGCATGTGGGATCTTCCCAGACCGGGGCACAAACCCGCGTCCCCTGCATCGGCAGGCGGACTCTCAACCACTGCGCCACCAGGGAAGCCCAAGCAGGCGGATTCTTAACCACTGCGCCACCAGGGAAGCCCGGTACTAGAGTTTTGATCTCAGTTTTGAGGACGATATTCCTTTTACTACAGGCTAGTTCTATACTGTCAAAAACATCTACAAAAGTATATCCTCCACACTTACACACATACTGTACAGAACTATAAAATCTGGCAAGGTAGAAACTTTCTGGAATTTTCCAGTGTATTTTCAAGGTACAGCAAGCCAAAAGAAAGCATTGTAGACAAGTATGCATGCTGACTCAGGCAGTGTTTCCAATGTAACTCTAGTGTAACACATTCATATACATATACACCCAGGGAATATTTCAGAAGCATCAGTTCTTTACACCTTACACTTGACCACGGATGTGGGTACGTCTCTGACAGTTCATCCTGTTCTTGTGCCAACACCACCTGACTGACCCTGCAGTGGCTCCATAGTGAGGTCAAGGCCAGTGCCATCTGCTGTTTCTTTTTGTTGTTTTTGCTGTTGGTGTGTTTCTTGAAGAGACATAGCCTCTTGGCTTTGTGGTGTTGTAAGGGTTGGAATGCTATTCATTGTGTCTTCCATTTGTCGCATTTGAACATACAGTGTTTCAAACTGGTGTTCAAATTGTCCGTCAAGGCAAAAGTCTTTGTCCGTGTTCATACTCCTCAATGTAGCATCCAAAGATCTGACTACACCTGCCAAACTTGCCTTTGCTTTACTGCTACTGCAGTTTGATCTCCAGCTGCCACAGCATTTACCCTAGGCTTTATTCTCACAAAGTTAAGTGCTAGGTTTTTCTGATGGTTTGTGTCTTTGGAGTGTGTTCTTGTGACTTCTCTGTGCCAATCTGAATGACCTTTTAGATCTTGGCCTTTTTCAGTCTCTTCTTTATCACATTTCTTGGCATTTCTATTAAGTGTTATGCAACAAACTTTTGTGTGTTTCTCCATATTTGAAATAAGGCCATGACTTCTCTGTGAAGGTGACAGCCTGGGACGGTGGCTGAGTTTGGTGGGACGGTGCTTGGGGATTGCACTTACCCTGAGTTGCTGCCCAGCTTGACTTGGTTGACTGTCCCCCTACTTGTCTTACCATAAAGGTTTTTTTAAAATAAATTTATTTATTTATTTTAATTTTGGCTGCGTTGGGTCTTCGTTGCTGCACACAGGCTTTGTCTACTTGTGGCGAGCGGGTCTACTCTTCGTTGCGGTGCGCGGGCTTCTCATTGCGTTGGCTTCTCTTGTTGCGGAGCACGGGCTCTAGGCACATGGGCTTCAGTAGTTGTAGCTCGCGGGCTGTAGAGCGCAGGCTCAGTAGTTGTGGCTCAGGGGTTTCGTTGCTCCCTGGCATGTGGGAATCTTCCTGGACCAGGGCTCGAACCTGTGTCTCCTGCATTGGCAGGCAGATTCTTAGCCACTGCACCACCAGGGAAGTCCCACCATAAAGTTTTTTCTTTTCTTTAAAATTTTTATTTAATTAATTTATTTTTGGCTGCGTTGGGTCTTCGTTGCTGCGCGCAGGCTTCTCTAGTTGCTGAAAGTGGGGGCTACTCTTCGTTGAGGTGCACGGGCTTCTCATTGTAGTAGCTTCTCTTGTTGCAGAGCACAGGCTCTAGGCGCATGGGCTTCAGTAGTTGTGGCACGTGGGCTCAGTAGTTGTGGCTCGTGGGCTCTAGAGCACAGGCTCAGTAGTTGTGGTGCACAGACTTAGTTGCTCCGTGGCATGTGGGATCTTCCCGGACCAGGGCTCGAACCCATGTCCCCTGCACTGGCAGGCTGATTCTTAACCACT